CTATTCCTAGACTCGGAATCCCAAACAGACATTGATAACACTGAAATGCACTTCAATCCAAACTTATGAAGTCCCTTCAAAATGCTAACTTCCACAATATGCGCCAAAACGTTCCCGGGTCTTCCAGAACCCGATCCAGACATACGCCCAAGTACAAAATCATCATACGAACCTGTTGGAACCTTCGAATTCCGATTCCGAGGTTGTTTACTCGAAAATCCAATCTTAGCTAATTCTTTCAACTTAAAGCTTTTGAAATTAGAATTCTCTTTCCAAATCAACTCCAAACTTATCGAAATTCAATTCTGACCACGCGTACAAGTCATAATACCTGAAGTGAAGCTGCCCATGACCTCAAACTCCTGAACGATATGCTAGAGCGCAAAACGACCGGTCGGGTCTTTACAGTTTTCCACTGAAGTTAAAATTATTCGTTCAGATAATGCTTTGGAATTAGGATCAGGATCTATTCTTTCAAAAAAAATCTTCTAATGGAATCCTTCATCAAACCTCTTGTGTTGCTACACCACAACAAAATGGAGTAGTTTAGCGAAAACACAAACATCTACTAGAAACATGCAGGGCTTTATTATTTCAATCTAATCTCCCCACCATGTATTACGGTGATTGCTTGTTAACTGCTACTTTTCTAATAAATCGATTTCCTTCTAGAGTGCTTAACTTCAAAACACCTTTTGAAATTCTTTTTGGAAAAGTTCCATCTTATGATTTTCTAAAAACTTTTGGTTGTCTATGTTATGCCTCTACTTTACCTCATCACAAAGCCAAACTTGAGCCTCAATCAATAAAATGTGTCTTTCTAGGATATCCTTTTGGAAAGAAAGGCTACAAATTGTTGGATTTTCACTCTAAGAACATTTTTATTTCACGAAATGTAGTTTTTTATGAGGAAATATTCCCTTTCTTCTCTCCTTCATCTGAACCAACCATTTTTCCTAAAGAATTTGCTATTATTCAATACTCAAAGCACCCCTCTCAAGCTAATATCCAATTTTCTTCAATTTCAGATTCTGGTCCAACAGTCTCACCTAGCATATCTGCTAACTCATCTCCTATTTCCAGAATCATTTCCTCTCCATCTTCTATTCCACTTCAACCTGAACTAAGGAGGTCTACTAGAGAACACAATCCACCATCGTATCTGGCAGATTATGTATGCAATGTTGTGCACTTGACTGATCTAACTAATTTTTGTCTTGCAGCACCAATCTCAACTACTACTATGAATTTCTCAGATCTCTCTCCTACAAACCTGTCACTTCTTAACTCTATCTCTCACATAATAGAACCTATAAGTTTCTCCCTGGCAGTTTTACATCCTAGTTGGCAGGAGGCAATGGCAAAAGAACTTCAAGCATTGGAAACCAATCAAACCTGGGATGTGGTTGAACTACCGAGAGGCAAGAAACCTTTACCTTGTAAATGGGTCTATAAGGTTAAATATAGATATGATGGAAGCATTGAAAGGTTCAAAGCTCGACGAGTTATCCGCGGGGACATATAAAGGGAAGGAATAGACTGCACTGAGACCTTTAGTCCAGTGGTAAAAATGACCACTGTTAGATGCATTTTAGCTGTTGCAGTTAAAAGGAATTGGAAATTATTTTAATTAGATGTCAATAATGCCTTTATTCACGGTGATCTACAGGAAGAAGTGTACATGTGATTCCCCCCGGGATTGCCTTCACCCTCTAATAATCATGTTTGCAGGTTAAAAAAGTCCTTATACGACCTCAAACATGCTTCCCGACAATAGTACGCACGACTCACTGGTGCACTCAATTTCAAAGGATATTCTCACTCTCTTAACGACTATTCTTTATTTTTTAAGAAGAAAGATACTGGAATTTCTATTGTTGTTGTTTATGTCGATGACATAATTCTCACAGGTGATGACCCTTCAGAACTTTCTAATCTAAAAGACTTCCTCGATTGAGAATTCAAAATTAAAGATCTTGGAGAAGATAATTATTTTCTAGGAATGGAAATACTATGAGAACAACATGGACTGATTATCAGTCAAAGAAAGTTCACCTTGGAGCTTCTTTCTAAGTTTGGTGTTCTTGATTCACAACCAGCCTCCTCTCAACTAGATCCTAGCTGTAAGCTTCGAGTGGATGTTGGCGAACCTCTTAAAGACCCAACCATCTACAGGCGACTATTAGGAAAGCTCAATTTTTTAACTCATACTCGCCCTGACCTCTCCTTCGCAGTTCAACATCTGAGCCAATATATGCAAAGCCCCTGTCAACCTCATTTTACTGTCGGATTAGACATTCTCCGTTATCTGTTGTCTTTGACACACTTGGGCTTTTTATGAATTCAGCCCCTTCTTTTCAATTAACAGCTTTTTGCGACCCCGATTGGGGGTCTTGTTTGGACTCTCGTTGCTCAGTCAGTGGCTTTTATATCAACCTTGGTGGATCCCCTATTTCATGGAAATCAAAGAAACAATCTTCCATCTCATTTTCCTCTGTCGAAGCTGAATACGGATCTATGAAGAAGGTCGTTTTAGAACTAACATGGCTTGTTCGCCTTTTCACGGATATCTCGTTCTTACCCACCTTGTCGGTCTCTCTTCATTTAGATAGCCAGGCGGTTATTCACATAGCAAAAAACCTTGTTTTCCACGAGCGCACAAAGCACGTGGAAATTGATTGTCACTTCGTCCGTCAACAGTTCCTCGCCGGACTGATCTCCTTATCATTTGTTCCGTCAAAATCGCAGCTCGCCGACATCCTTACAAAGCCACTTTCGGTTCCTCTTCACAAGGCAATCGTCTCCAAGTTGGGGTTGTTTTCTCACCCCTCCAACTTGAGGGGGGGTGTTGGACCAGAATCTGAAATCTTGGCCCCTAAATCAAAAGCTGGTCGACATAAGAAGGCACAGTCGAAGAAGACGAAGAAAGAAAGAAAGAGATAAGAAATGTATCAAATGACTTAGAAAGCAGAAGACCAACATATTATAATTTAGGTATATCAGGCTCCATAAGCTTTGGGCCAATAGTATCAATTGGCCCAACACACAACTCAAAAGCCCAAAATACAAGCTAAGGTCTGGCCCTTTTGTTTAAAGATTCAGTCTACTTCTTTAATGTAGTACAATGGATACATCTGGAAGGCATACTTAACCCTTTCAGATTTAAGAATCCAAATGCAATGTATAGTTGTACATATCATAGTGCAAATATGAATAGGATAGCAATTAAGAATTAGACACTTGTATTTTTGTATAGCTGTAAATTGTACCTGGTTTATTCCTAAATTACTGTATAAAATAGGCATTATGTACAACATATCATTCATTCAATAAAAGAGAAGAATTCTCCTAAATTTCTACAAATACAGGTAGGTTTCAAATGTCCGCGTAGAGCATGGTAGGTTTTAGGTAGTTGTGTTGAGCACGAGTAGGTTACAAATAACCGTGCTAAGCATGGCTTCGATGTAGTTGTGCTAAGCATAGGGTAGGTTTGAAATGTTGAGCAAGGGTAGGTTCCAAATGGTCGTGCTGAGCAGGGGTAGGTTCCAAGCGCTATACTGAGCACGAGTAGGTTCTAAGTGGCCGTATTGAGCAAAGCTAGGTTCCAAGTAGTCATGCTGAACACAGCTATGTTCCAAGTGGTCGTGTTGAGCACAACTAGGTTCCAAGTGACTGCACGGAGCACGATTAGGTTTCAAGTGGTCATGTTGACCATAGGTGGGTTCTAAGTGTCGTGCAAAGCACAGATAGGTTCCAAGTAGCCGTGCTGAATACTGATAGGTTCCAAGTAATTGTGTTGAACATGGGTAGGTTCCAAATAACTATGCTATGAACGTGATAGGTTCCAAGTACTAAGCAAGGGTAAGTTCTGTGTGGCCATATATATTCATTCATGCTATATATGCACGGGCCCCGGAAGTATTACTAATTAGCCATTAAAACATAAAAACTATATTATCAGCACATTGTGACCTTTTCAGCATTTAATTTCCTCATCAAAGCTTAGGTAAACGCCAATTTTCAGCTAACTTTACATTAAATTTTTGCTCTGCATAAAGTGGCTCACACATTTAATACCGACATCCATCCATTAGCTCTTAATGCCCTGTTTCATGATTTTATGTCTGCTTTTGCAAATGACAGCTTGAAACTTATAGTCAGTATTTCAAAGATACAGTTATAGACGGACAACTTTGGGATAAAGTGAGAGTTCTAGCTATGTGATATTAGGAGATCATGAGAATTGAGATCAAACAACAACCTCTTGTAAAAATGCAACTCATACTTTATAGTAAACCAATATGATCCGGCTCTTTCTTTCTAAGAACCTATGCATATATAGCAGGAACTTAATGCATCTGCCGCAAGGGGCAGATTTAGGGGGGCGGAAGGAGGTTCACCCCAACCCCTTCGCTACATATAAGGGAAAATTCGTCTTGTGCCTATTTTATTTTAAATCCCTTTAACACAGTTCAAAAGCATAACTCCGTGGTCAATGTGGTTCAAAAACTTTCAAAGATCGTTAATTCAATTCCCACTGACCATGGTCTCTTTTAACTTTGTCTTTTGAACCCCTTAACCGAATTCCTACGTCCGCCACCGTTTGCTGCTATTTTTAATGCCTACATGGCTAAATTACATTGTCAATTGTCACCATCAGGGGCCGAAGCTAAATATCCTAAAGGGTGGTCAATCGACCACCCTTCCTCGGAAAATTACACTGCGTATATAGGTAAAATATTAGGTTTTAGAGGTATAAAACATATATTGAATACTCTTTGCCGGGGAATTTTTTTCACTTCTTTCAAATTTGAACATCCTTGAGGAAATTCGTGGTTTCGCCACTGGTCACCAATTATAACAGGAGGATAAAAACAGAGTTGCATTCGTGCCAACGAACTGAATGATGATCAAACATACATCTATACATGCCAAAAATAAAATTAAAAAAAATGAAAGAGCGGACATGATCAGAAGATTTCTGCATATAAGACAGCCACTTTATCAAAGAAGGAACTTCAATCTCTTTGCTGTATTTTATATATAAATATATCATGATCTGTAACTTACAAGACTATGTATCTCTCTATATATCTTTACAAAATCGTCGTTATAACTCAGTGGTTGTTCTTCCCATGATTTCACGTTTACATGGATATGTTAAGGTCAATACGAGGTTTTTTCATGCTAATTACAGATGATATTGGAACAATTGTATCGCATCGCGGACATCTTGGATTGGTCTTTGATATCAGCACGTAAAGGAGACAACTTGGACAACCAGCAGCAAATGATGAATTCGCGAACGAAGTCATGTCATGCTCAGTAATATTATCTGTATCCTTGATTGATGATATTGAGGAATTTGAAGTAGGAGATGATGTGATGGACATGAGTACAACTGATTCTGATACGGAGCGCTTCCTCTTTAATGATTCCTTCTCTGCCCTTTCTAAAGCAAATTTTACTTTTTCAAGGGTGCACACGCTATTATTATAACCCGATGATGATGATGATGGCGATGATGATGACGATATCAGTTTTAGATCTAACTTAGTGTCCTCAAAAAGACTGAGTGGTAAGTTTGAAGCTGGAGGGGAATTGAGATCTTGAAAATTTCCAACTGTTTGATATTTTGGTTGCTTATTCATTGATGAGAAATAATTCGAAGAATTTCTCCGTTGTAGATACACTTTTCCTGACTGTTGCAAATTAATTCAACATATCAACATTATTATTCATAATCCAACCAACCATATAAATAAAACTATAAAATTAAATGATTGATTACTGCAAATATTTTTGTTATTTTTTCATACTTAATAAATGCTTGTAAATATCTCGAGCAAATTCCATCACTAATTACTACAAATATTTACTGAAGGGGTGCGTATGCAAAAGGAACATAGAAGAGATTATACACGTTGACTCCATGAAAAAGAAAAGGAAAAGATAATCAAGACTTAACACAACCCCATCATTCAACTATATATATAGTACAACTTTATCAAAATATTATTCAAACTTCACGCAGTTTGACTCTAAGTGAAACGGTGAAAAAATACCTTCAAGTCGAGGTGCTTTTCCCAGCCAGAAGGAACCTGCAAGTCAAGGTCCAACTCTTTAGAATCAAGGATTGAACATCCACCGAGCAAGTCCCGAGTGATCAGGGCCGTTGATTTTCCACCACCCCTTGAGGATGAAGATGAAGATGATGATTCATTCATGTCATGATTATCACCTTTGTTCATTATCCTAACCAGAGTGCTGACTTCTGCTGCCATATCTTAACCAAAGAAAAATATTTTTTTTTTAAATAATAATATTGTAAGTATGTAGAAGGACAGAAAAGAGAAGGGACTTGAAAGAATATTGAAACTGAGATACAGAAAGAAACAGAGACAAAAAGAAGAGTTGGGAAAATGGCTAATAAATAAACGGGAAGAAGAAAGTAAATGGAGTCTGTTATGCATAAAAGGAATAATAATGAGTTTATAATAGTAACAATCATAATGGGGTGGGAGTGAATTTAATTATAGCATCTGTTTGACCACAGATTTTGGGTACGTTTTTCAAAAAAAAAAGAAATTTCAGAAAACACCGTTTGTTCATGCATGATCAGTTTTTAAATTTTTTATTTTATTTTTTTGGTGAAAGTTTTTTCTTGCACTCACAGAACTTAAGTTTTTTTTTAGATAAAATGCATGTCGAATCACAACTTTAACTTTTAAAAATTATTTTTCAAACCAAGTAACTTCAAAAAAAAAATCAAATTTCAATTAAATATATGTCCAACCGCTAGCATACTAATTTGGTATATTTTATAGGCGAAATGGTTTCCTGGCCACTTAAATTTGTAGAGTTTTTGAAAGCCGATACATGAACTTTGAATTTTCCCATTTGAATACCTATACTTGAGATAATGTCTATTAATAAACACATCTCACCGTTGACTATGTTTATGTGACAATATTATAGTTGATGTGGCCAATTGCGTGTTAATCATAGGTATTAAGCGCGTGACTATGATAAATAATTTTAAAAAAAAATATTAATTTAAAAAAATAGAAAAAATCATCGGGTAAGATTTAGAGAAAAGTCATCCCTCCATTTATCTTCGCCCCACCCCCTCCATTTAACTTCTTGCTTTCCCGTCTTTTGTCTTTTATTCTTAACTAAAGCCATAACCAAAATTTTAATAAATCAAACTCAAAAGCTCCATATTCAACCCACATATCGGACTATTCTTTAATTTTTAACCATCAATCACACTCAAAAATTTCATATTAGAGAAAAGTCAATATCCATTATCATAAAATAAATTCATCGAATCAAGGAAGATGGAAGAGATCGGTACAAATTTTTGGAATAAGAATGGGTAATAAGAAATTGAAAAGCAACATTGTTCGTTGTTTTTCAACATCTTTTTGATTTGTTGAATTTTTTGCTGATTTGAAAATAACAGCGTAATACATCTTTTTGATTTGTTGAAAAGCAACTGCAATATTTCATAAAGGCAAGTACGTGTATAATGGTGGAAGCTCGGGAGGTGGTTTTATGGCTTTCTCTTGCGCGATGAATTACACACACGTACTATCTCTTTAGAAGATCTGCAACAACTGGGAAGGAGGAAGTAGTTATTGGGGTACAAGGGTTATATGGAGAAACAATTAATTGGACAAAAAAAAAAAAAAAAAAAAAGTGGGACCTTAAACATAAAGGTGGCCACAAATGTGAATGAATAGAAGATGTGGCTATATAAAATATTAAATTAAATCCATGTCAGCAGCGATTGAACAATACGCACCATGACAAGTGTTTATTAGTAGACATTTTCTCAAGGTGTTCAAATGAAAAGTTCGTATATCAATTTAAAAAATTGGATTCATATTTGATATATTACTATGAGTTGAATGAAGGGAGAGGGGGGGCCGTCAGTAATGGCGGCATTAAAAGCTAATAATGGCACTACTACGCAGTTGTAATTTATTCCATGCACATTTTTCCATTACTATTCCTAGACCTTTTAGCTCCTTTACGTAGGCTCCATTTAATGTTCATTTGGAGTAGTAATTACTACAACTACTAGTACTACGTACTACTATTATTTTCCTTTCGAAGTTACAACATATTAATATATCACCCATTAGTTTTGGATAAAAACTTGTATTTGTATAAAATTATAAAGAGATATCATGGTTAAGTAATAATTTTGGATGAAAATATATACTTCTTCTGTTTCAATTTAGATGACACACTTCCTTTATTAATCTATTCCAAAAAGAATGACATATTTCTACAATTAAAAATAATTCAACTTTAAATTCTTCATTTTATCCTTAATGAGAAGATTTTATAACCACACAAATGTCAGAACCCACAAAATTTTTACTCCCTCCGGTCCACAATAAGTGATCAATTTGCTTTTTTATTTTGGTCCAAAATAAGTGTCCATTTATATAATCAACAAAAAATTCAATTTATTTTTACAAAATTACCCTTATGTACATATCCCTAAAAAGTTTTCTTTACATATCCCTAAAAAGTTTTTTTACTCCTCACATTAAATATTTAATTAAGGGTAGTTTAGTCATACTAGGTATTTTTGTATAAAATTAGTATTTTCTTAATGGGCATGTCAAAAGTAAATTGGTCACTCATTGTGGACCGGAGGGAGTCTTAAGCTTTTTAAGACCACAAATTTCAATTTTTTTTCTTAAACTCTGTGCATCAAGTCAAACTGTCTCGTCTAGAGTGAAACGGAGGGAGTAATACTTATTAATTAACTATAGTTATAACATTATATGTGAAAACACATATCATGTATTCATTAATTGGTGAAAACATTAGCTAGCAGAATGTTTTACCAAATGCGACAACTAACCTCTGGTGTTGGGTCTACGTGTGCCAACCCCAAATAGGAAACTACTATCACTTGGGCCTAAGCTCCTGATCCCGGCATGATCGATGTTGAGCAGAAGTGAGGTTAAAACAGGCAATAATACATCCCCTTTACTTGGTAAGGCTTGAAAGGCTAGACAATTTATTTTTCTTTCCTATTCAATATTTTCAATCTAAGCCGGATGAGACTAAGCAGCTACCGACCACTCCGACTGCAATTATATATTGTATCGAGATTACAATAATGCAACATTATGTAATGCAACTTCCTAAAGTTATGATTCCTCCAAAAGGTTTCAATAATAATCAGATGTAGTTTGAATATGCCTTCAATCATCTTTATTTGACTTTTGTTTCCTCGAGCGTGGGCTTTAATAGGGGGTGAACTTTTGACATTATTGTTCTACAACTAATTCCCATGTTACGTTTCCTTTTTCCTTTGCTTGATTTGTTGCATTAATACGTACGTACTGCTTCTTTAAGCACGGCGCAGATATTGCTGCACAATCACTAAGAGGGTGTTTGGCTAAGCTTCTAAGCTGGTTAAACTGGCTTATAAATATTTTTTGACTTATTTATGCGTTTGGTAAAATTAAAAGTGCTTATAAGCCAAAAATAAGTCAAAAGTCATAAAATACTTCTTTTTAAAACAAAACTCTTCGTATACCCAATTCTTCAGCTGCTTATTATTAATTTCAACATTTTTATCCAAATACGTAACTACTTATTTTTTAAATCAATTTCAACACTTAAAAGTGTTTTTCAGCACCCAATGTTTATCAGCTACTCTAAAGTCAAGCCAAACGGCTCTAAGTCAGCCCAATTATTGTGTCAATCACTAAGATAAGATGTATACTTGAATTCCATCTACGTACGAAACTTCCAAACTGCCGTTGAAAAGAATGACACTAACATTTAGAATCCAATAAATGAACAATACAATAAAGAATCTCTCTATAGTTATTACTTATTTTAAAGAGATAAATCATAATTTAATTAAATAACCTTTATTATTAATATTAGATAATAAATTTATTATTAGATGAGTCAAAAACGACATTTAAGATGTATCGTCATTTATCATGAATTATGATTGGATACCCAAAGGGGTCATTTCATAGGTAGGATAAGGGATAATAATCCTGAAATTATATGCGAAATTATTCTATCGTGCGTTTGGTTGAATTTTTGAATCTGGAATTAGCAATTTCGGACTAAGTAATCGCATAATTGGATATTATTCTATTCCACATTAAGGGTTGAGGTAATAATCCTCGGATTAAATAAACTAAAATAACATAAATGCCCTTCTCCAAGGCTCTTCCTCCAAAGTCTTTTAAACATTTAAAATCAAAAATAAAAGTCTATCCAACTTATATAGGATAATACACCAAAAACATATTCATATTATACCCTGTATATCCTTTTTTTTTGTCCAATAAACCAAACATCTACCAATAAAAATATATTTACAAAATAATCCTATTATTATTTAGCGTATTATAATTCCATCATTATAATTTTGAGATAATTTATTTCCCCGCCAATCGACCCCAACAAGTTAAAGAAAAACTCATAAAGTCGAGCAAGAGAGTTAGGGGTTGTTTTGTACAATGGTGGAATATCTTATGGGAATAGTTATCCGATCTTCTATATAAGATAACTAATCCCACAATTTTAGTGTAAAAGATCCTCGGATTTGCTAATACCTTAAATCAAACATAGGATATAATTAATCTCAAATTTTATCTCGAATTATTATCCTTATCTCATGTACCAAGCGACCCATTAGGATTTCGATTGTTCAAAATTGCAGTGACTGGGAAAAGAGTGAAATATGTGTACATTTTGGCAGGGGAATGAGGGTAAAGGCAGAACTTTAAATCTTTTTTGTGTGTGGATATGGATTAACATGAATACATGACCAGGTGAGGAATTAACTTCACCTCACTTTTGCTGTCTCAATTAATTAAGAAATTTAATGCTAGGTAGAGCTTAAGACATGAATGAGGTCTAGGGAGAAATTCAAAAATAGCTAGGTTTACAAGTGATCGTTCAAAAATAGCTCAGTTTCAAAAGTAATCGAAATTTAGCCATTTTTTATGTAAAAATAAATCTGAACGAAAACACCGTTTAAAATTCGGAAAAATACTCCAACATAATATACTAGAATTCCAGTATAATATACCGGTCCAGCATAATATACCGGAGTTTGGAGCACCGGTGCTCCAGTCTCCAGTATATTATACTAGAGCCAGCAAAATATACCGGTCTAGCATAATATGTTGGAAGTTTATACACAGGTGCATCGAACTCTAGTATATTATGTTGGATTGATCTCTATTGCAACAAAATAATAGTTCTTTTTTATTAATTTGGTAAACGTCGGAACGTTGGTATTAACTTCACCTCACTTTTGCTCTCTCAATTAATTAAGAAATTAAATGCTATGTAGAGCTTAAGACATGAATAAGGTGTACTGTGCCTAATTTCCCTCTGGCTCAAGGCTCAAGATAAAATGAGTACTTAGACTTTTAAGATTCGCATTTAATGGCTTTCAATATCTGCATTAATGATTCA